CTCGATCCAGAGGGATCGCGCGCATTTAGATACGGCATTACGGAAACAGAGCGAAGGGATCTTCCAAAGTTCCTTCGCAACCGCCTGTCTGACGTAATTTTCCAAAAATTTACCGACTTTGCTGGAAAACCGAGTTAACCGGAAGCGAATGATCGCGTTTCGCAACTCCTAAATTCTCAGCACACGCGAGTTTCAATTATTCCTAGCCAATTGTACGCCAGTACTCGAGGACAGCGACGATTTAATCGGAACGGCGATGCAAATGCGAAACGCGAACGCGAAATGGAAATACAAAATTCATCGAGTCGCGACTTGGCAATTACAGCGGAAAACTGGCAACCAAAGCGTACGTTCGCTCGGTACCGGAAGGAGCGTTTCCCGCACGGTAAACCTACCCCTCTGTGAAACAACGGCGGCATACGTTTCACGATTATGGTCGCCGCGTACACCGCGACGCGCGAATTCGCCGCGAGTTCCACGCGGTCGAAATTCCGCTGAACGACGCTTCTTTGGAACTCGCGGCATGGTCGTCGCCGTTGAACGAATCGGGGAACGAGAAGCTGACGACACGAGAAAAGGAAGCGGAAAGTTGCCACGATTTACCATACCAGCGACGTCGCGCAATTTGCCAACGGGCCAACTTCTGGCCCCATAGGAACGACTTGACCTAGTTCGCCTGCCAAAAATCCTTCGGAGATCGCGTGTTTCGATTTTCGGATGCCCACGTTGCAACAAAGTGGTTCGGAAAAATTGGACCGCAGCTCGTTTCGCTCGACTTTCCTCGCCGCCCGTATCAACCACGACCGAAATCCGGACACAGACGTATCGAACGTCCGGATGTACTCCCGGGATGAAAAGAACAGGGTAGAAATTTGTCCATCGGTTTCCTCCCTATAGTTATACAGAGAACGCTGTTACCCGTACGCGGGGACGAATCTCGATCGAAGAAAGAAGCGACGAAGACGCGGTTCGGGTTAAAATATCTGCAGGTAGCGATAATTCGCGGATAAAATCAGCGGCAGGCCCGTTTCGTCATCGGCGAATTAGAGGGAATTCGATGAAGCGCGTAATCCATGAAATATCGAGATATAATTCGATTTCGTCGGCGAGCACGGTCGCGTCGAATACGAAAAAGGGATTGCCGTAAATTCATTTGCATGTTGTCGCGGGTCGTCGACCGAACGGAACGTCGAATCGGAGAATCGTATTTAAAATAAACGTCGTTATTCCCAGGACATCGACAGAACTTTTGTCATTTCCACATTGGTCGGCATTTTCCATGTAAATAATCCGCGAATCGATTATCAGAGCGACTAAACGTATCGTTTTATTCGCCTCTAATTACGTAATAGATCTCGTGTACTTGGAAGTCGGATGTACCGTTCCTCGCGAGACGACGCGAAGGAAGAACGGTAACCCGTATGGTGACTAGCGTGAAAGATCGATGGTTTGACACAGATTCGTCGAATTAGTCGCGAGCAGTACCTTGACAGATGTAGGATCAGGGCGACTCGCCGATCCCTGGCACCAACGGGGCTTCTCTGGTCTATACCGTAAAACGGCCGATTATGGCTCCTCGTACACGCGCATTTGCCTACGCGAGGGCTATATTTAAACTAGCGACGCAATTATTAGCGGACCTTTAAATATTCCAGCAGCTAGACACTCGATAACAAAGTCGATAGAAAATAGAATGACCTGGACAGGCGATCGCGTGGCCGATACTGGCCCGATTGCCACGTTCCATCGCGTATCGAATCGGAGAACAAAAGGTTAATTTCTATCCGTGTTATCACTGTATCGGCGGCGTATTTCTGCGGTGAAAGTTGGGAAAATATGGAGAAAATATATAGGAAGCGTGGTGGAAATATAGTGGAAATAGCGACGCGTTTTCGAAGCTGCGCAGATTACCGAGTACCTGCAGCAGCGTTACAAACTGGTCGAGATGTAAATTTGGGAGAGATTGATTTGCAAGGGGGGAAATACCTAGCATCGATGTCGGTAAATCGTGCGTGATGCAAGTCGTTAGGGAAAGTGCACTTTAACACCCTATAGTGGCGCTAATGCAATTCCCGTGGATTTGTTGGCAAGTGCGACCAGTCGACGTCCCGCGCGGAATTTCCACCATCGACACCGAAATATCGCCTGCACGCGTTGTTCGTTACGCACTCGGTACTATCTTCCTCGCCTCTCCCCTTCGTCTCGAACAGCTAATTGTCCAGCGATTTTTCCGTCACTTTACCTGGACGCGGAGTCGCGACCCATCGGAGTCGAACGTCGTCGCAAGGGGGATAGGTTGCGTCTAACAGGGACAAAGAAGAATCGTCTGGAGCGTTATGAAATGCTCGATAAATTGGAAGAGGAATCGTAATCACCGGGAAAATCGTAAAAGCGGACTCGCGGAAAGGGCATTCGATTAATTAATCGGCGAAGGGCGCTCGATTCTTCTGCGCCATCGCCGACGCAACGAGCTCCGATTCTTTTATCATTTTCTTCCTCCTCTTTCCATCTTTTTTCGCTCGTCTACTTAGGGAACAAAGGCAAGGAGGAGGAGTCTGCAACGGCTGCTTTTAAACGGATAAAGACATCGCGTCGCTGTGGTCTTCGGAGACGGTTTAAGCCAATTTAGCCGGTCCTATAAATCTTCCTTTCCGCGTTATTCCCTCCTACCTGTTCCGTCATACTTTCTCCTCCTCCTTCTCCTTTTCCTCGTCGTTTCCCTGTATCCCGGTTACCGATAGACGATCGTGGCGGATCAGCGATTCGATGGCCGCCACGCGGACCACCGAGCGGAGTTAAGCTCCGCTTCAGACCGCGAGCGTCGAAGCTTACTCGGTGCTTTGCAACCTCGAGTAAACAGAGTCGCGAGTAATTCGTAGATTAAACAACGACAGCGTCGTTTTAAGTCGTAAACACTGTGGACCGGTCGAGGGCGCACGCGGACGTAATGAAAAGCAAAAATTAAACTCGGCGAGCGCGTACGCGATGCAGGTACTCGACCCTCGCGAACGTTTCATATCGGTAGACGGGCTGGCTGGAAAGTAATTTCACGAACGAGAGCACACTCGCGAATTGATCACGAGCTCCGTAAAAACAGTCCATGGGCTGCCGTTTGATATTTCGAGTAGGTAAATACCCAACGCGAAGGAACACCGGTAACGAAGGGCTCTGGTCGTCGAAACCTTTCCAAACCCACCCTCCGTGCTTCTCGTTTCGCTCGGAACCACGCATCCACCTACGCTCGCCATCTCGCGCCATTTTCTTTCCATTTCGATCATCCTCCGGCGTCTTTCTCGTCTTTTCCGACCGCTCGATTCAAAATTAACGATATTCCTCGCATTCGTTTACCTAGTATCTCTCACGTCTTTCAGAAATTTCTCGCATTCGCTGAACCGTCTTCGTAATTTAGAAACGTCGAATAATCCCGTGTCTCTACGTCTCTAGACATTACTCCGTTCGAAATGATGCCCTCGAAATTAATTTTCGCTTTGTAACTCGTTTCTAACATTTTTCAGGACATCCTATCGTTCCGTATCTGCCGCGTCCTCGGCGAGGACACAAGTAGAAATTAGCCGTGTTCTCCAGCGCGTCTTCGCTTCCGAACTTGTCATAGCTTCCCGCATCTCTCGCGATGATTCGATTCGCAGCAGACTGCGTTCTCTAAATTAATTGTCGCTTCGTAACTCCTCGCAGTTTTCTATTCGCTCGTCGAGACAGCCTCCACCTTCCGTTTCCGGCTTCTGCTCGTAGCAGCTCGTCCGAGAATAATTGTACAAAGCGGCCTGACGAAGACTCGCGAAAGAAATGCCGCTTGAACGGTGTCGGTGTGACGAGGCGCGTTCTACGCTGACAGCACTCGCGATTGGAACGACGAGCACGACCCGGATGGCCCGTGTCGTCCGGAGGTCGCGGATATTTCAGAATCTAGCCCAAATACACGGAATGGTTCGAGTGGCCGCGTCTCCTTCGGAGAATGCGATCCAATTTAAACTCGTCGTCCGACTGGATGGGCGTCAGGAACGTATACTTTTCGACGAAACTTATCAACGACGAGGGAAAGAACCCTGCTGCCACTCGAGCGATTCTTCGTTATAATTTTAACCAGCTATCGAGTAATTCCTGGCTCTCGACTTTCGAAGCGAAGAAGCATAGTCGATACGCCTTCGGCGACCTTGCGCTCGCGTTTTGATCGCTCGAGTTAAAGTCTTTGGTTGTCGTGCGCGCAGAATTAGCGAGATTACGAATCGAGCCGCGGTACACAACACGTTAGTAAGGCTTGACGCGAAATCCTTGCTTGCAAACTTTCCGCGATTCGTCGAGTGGAAACAACTGGAAACCACTCGAGCAGAACTTTGCTGTTTACCTATGGAGGTAACAGCGCGCGAGTGCACGCGTCGTCTCGAGACCTCGAGTCGTTAGACCGCGTCCATTTTCGTTTATTACGCGCGTTTCGTATTATACGTTGAAATGGTCGCTCGGCGACCGTCTTCCAACGGCAACGCGCCATCGTTGCGAATCGCCTTTGCTTCGACCACGCCTCGCGTGGAGAAATGGAGAAATGTAAAGAAAGTCGCGAGCCAGCGAGTAAAGCGGATTCGCTTAGCGGAACAAACGGTGTTCACGGCTAACGTCTGGCTACCCGTTTGCCGGTTCGTTCCCTCGAGAAAAGAAAGCTCCTCGACAAAGGAGGAATCGCGAGAGACGAAGCGGACAAAGAAGGACGATCGCGCTGATCCAGGCCGAATACAACGAGCCACTCTTTGCATAAGGAGCTCCGCTTGCCACGACCCTATTCACCGGCTCCTCGGATTTTCTCTCGCGAGATTGTCCGGCTAAGAACGACCACGACTGCGGCGTTCGCACGACGAGCAAACGAATTCGCTTATCGGGAGACTACGCGCACGAAATTCGAGAAACCGTAGTTTCGACGAGGAAAATCGTGAACCGGGCGTGAGGTAGTAATCGAATCGCTAATCGCGAGCACGTTTGCTTCAGGACTGGTCAAGCTCGGGATCCACTGCGTGTTGGGCAAGAAGGTGGCGATCAAAATCATCAACAGGGAAAAGCTGTCGGAGTCGGTGCTGATGAAAGTGGAACGAGAGATTGCGATCATGAAACTGATCGACCATCCTCACGTGCTCGGCCTCTCGGATGTGTACGAGAACAAGAAATATCTGTGAGTACCTGAAACAGAGGGAGACAAAGGTATAGGGGACAGAGACTGGAATTTCCCGTGAATTTTTTTCCGGTTCGAATGAGTCGAGGAAAGCTCGGGGTCCGCTCGAGTTTCTGAATATTCGGTGAGTCGGACGAGGAGAGAGAGAGAGTGAGAGTGAGAGACAGACAGAGAGAGAGAGAGAGAGAGAGAGAGAGAAAGTAGGAAAATCTACACGCTAGACAAAAGTGTTTTACTCACGGGACCCATTACTCACGGTGGCAGAGAGGAGAATGCACGCTCGGAAAAGTCCGAATGTACCAGCACCACTGAAATTGCGCTTGTTCGTTTCAGATATCTTGTTCTGGAACACGTATCGAGCGGGGAGCTTTTCGACTATCTAGTGAAAAAAGGTAGACTAACACCGAAGGAAGCGAGGAGATTTTTTCGACAAATCATTTCTGCGTTAGATTTTTGTCATAGTCATAGTATATGGTGAGTAACTGGCGATTTCCTTGCGACTTTGCGAGTACGCGAGCAAGCGGATCGCGGATTCACGACGTCGCGTGTAAACGCGGAATGGACGATAAATTCCCCTGTCACCTGCCGTTCTCTTTTCATCCGAACGAATTTCGACCGACTCGTTCGGGAATTATGCACCGTACGTATCGCGGAACGATGGGAAATTCCTTCCGGTTAATTTCGCAGCGCGCGTTTAACGGCTCGATAACAGAGGCAAGAGAAAAACGACGAGAAAACCGATGCGCGCGGGTAACAGGGGGCTGGTTCCCAACGGTCTAGTTGCCATCGGGGAACCTACCCCAATCGAATAAATCCAGAAACGGACCTAATTTCGCGGGAGAGACGCGTGTAACGCTGGCATCGATCGATCGGACATGTAAATTAGTTGACCCTAGGCCGTCTAACTGGCTATTTAGTCTAACGTGCGTACATTCGTCGCAGCGTGTGGCTGCGAGCCGATAACCGGACCGCGTTTCTCCTTTCCAGTCATAGAGACTTGAAGCCTGAAAATTTATTGTTGGACGAGAAGAATAACATTAAGATAGCGGATTTTGGAATGGCGTCGCTGCAACCTGCCGGTTCCATGCTGGAAACCAGCTGCGGCTCCCCTCATTACGCCTGCCCGGAAGTTATACGAGTAAGTTCTAGCCCTGACTCCTACGAATATTCTCTTGGCCCTTTCTCTTTTTTTCCGTTCGAAGAAGCCCTCGACGTGGCTGCAAAGCGTTAAAGATCCAAACTTTTCCCCCAGCTTTAATCGCTCCGACGCTAGCCGTAGGAAAACGAGCAAGAGATTAATAAAGAACGGTAATCACGGCCTTTTAAAATATATATATACACCGCTTTGCCGGGCTACCCTCTCGCGTGCCGAGAAAGCCATCGAGACGAATTATTATTTTACCGTTAGCCATGTCCCTGCTGGCCAGGGGTTTAATTAAAAGGGAAGAAAAATACGAAATAATTGCGCGTTCGCAGGGTGAAAAATACGACGGCAGGAAGGCGGACGTTTGGTCGTGCGGGGTGATACTCTACGCGCTTCTGGTAGGCGCTTTGCCCTTCGACGACGACAATTTAAGGAAATTGCTGGAGAAAGTGAAGCGAGGCGTGTTTTACATACCGCACTTCGTGCCGCCCGAGTGCCAGAATCTGCTCAAGGGGATGATCGAGGTCGATCCGGACAAGAGACTGACGGTAAGGCTATCGACCGAGTCGCGAGATCGCGAACGCTGCGTTTGGCCCGTTAAGCGAGTACAACGCGACAGGATCGAAAACGAGCCGGCAACTCGCTACCCTCGTTCAACGGGCTAAACTCGAAGGCACGTCCGAGAGTGTACGCCAGGCGATAAATCCTAATTTCGAATTTCCTCAGCTGGCGGAGATAAACAGGCACGTGTGGGTGACGGCGGCGGGCAAGGGCGAGTTAGAGTTGGAGCTGTCGATGATGGACGTGGTGCAGACGCACGTTATTCCGTCCGTGGACGCCATCGATCCAGACGTTTTGCAAGCGATCGCGAGCCTAGGCTGCTTCAAGGAACAGGACAAGCTCATTCAGGAACTCCTCAATCCGAAGTAAGACAAAGGATAGGATTTTTCCACTTATCGAATACGCGTAACCTCCCTGGCAAAATTATAAAACTCCACCGCGCGACTACGACTAACCTCGCACGATATCCCTCGAAGAGTTGCGATCGTTCTCATCTCTGTTATCCCGCGTGCAGCCACAACACGGAGAAGGTGATATATTTTCTGCTGCTGGAGAGGAAACGAAGAAGACCCGCGTGCGAGGACGAGCTGGAAGTGATGAGAGGAGGCATAAGGGGGTCCTCGGGTGAATTGGAAGCTGATCCACCGAGGAAGCGAGTGGACACGTGTCGAGTGAACGGCAGCACGGCCCTGAATCTCGGGGAAATTAGCCACGGCTCTCCTCTCACGCCCAGAAGACAGTTGAGGTACGTAGGAAAGAACAGGAGGCTCGCGGGTGATACACGGAGGATAACAGGCCCTATCTCGTATCTGGAATCGGATCGAGTTCCGTGTCAAACGTCGTGCCAGGTTAAACGACGCGCTCGATCGTTTCGCGATTCGCTATCTCCGGGCTTCGTCCAAGTCAACGATCGCGTGACCACCGCGACCGGTCTCTCCACGCCAATGCATCGCGTGTACTACGCTATCACGTGCATACTCCCTAGACCTTTCCTCTGTCTCTCGTCTTCCGTCTACTTTGCCACGTGCGAGCCCGCTTCGCACGATTACCTCTCTCTCTCCACCGATTGAAAACCGTGTCCCGAGTGTGTCGCGCGAACAACCCACTCCGCAGAATGGATCGATGGAACGCCAAACTCGCGAAACAACGTACAACCTGGTCCGAGCCACGGCTTCCAAATATCCCGAGTGTCACCCCGTACACGTGTACTCGTGTGCGCGAGATCGCGGCCGACTGTATCAAGGACAGACGCTGGTACCGCTCATCCTGACCCGCGGCCTAACGACGACTAACACGCCGTTCGCGACTAACGTCGTTCGTTACCTGCTCCAGCCCTCTGGGGATCTCGGCTCGCGTCCGCGATTCTTATCCCCGGCGTAGCCAGCAGCGGTCACGAACGAGCTTCTTTTCAGCACCAGGAATCACGCGCGTCGTTCTCCAAGCGCCGGATGTCATCCACACGCGTCGACGCCCGGCAGCTCGCCGTTACACGGGCCGAATGCCGTCGCAGGACTGCTCAGTCCTCACAGGGCGCTTCTGACCTCGCACCTAGGACAGGCCGGAAGTCCTCACAGACTGCCGGCGCTGACGAGCAGCGCGGGCAACGGGAACACCACTGCGCCGCCTGTCGTCGCTCCTGTCCCGGCATTACCCAACGTGGGAATAGAAATAAACGACGTCCAGCAGGGTGAGCTCTTTAGCCAATCTTCTCTCTCATTCTCCTTCGCGTTTCGCCTTTCGGGAACCGACGTCGGATCGTGTCTTTTACTCGTCGGCATTTATTCCTAGAAATAATAATAAGTATTACGCTTTTATTTATTACATTTAACCGGCGTTAGATCCTCAACGAGAAACTATCTCGGGTTCTTTCGCGGAATCGATACGCCTCGCGGGGTTACGTTGTTTCGATGAATAATCCATTCCTTCAAAGAGCCCTCCAGATTGTGCATCGCGAAGTAGTCGGGTGTAAATCCTCTTAAAACTAGCTAGCTCGTGCAAAGCCTCGCGGTACGTTTATACGCGACGTAGTCTAGCGAGTTTCGCTAGTATGCCAGAGCGTGTTTCCGTTCTTCCCCGAACTCGGCTAATCGGTGCTTGCACGAGTCGGAGACGGAACACGCGTCTGATCGAAAACACGTTTGGCGACGTCTCGCGATGGAGGAATCGGTGGACGTAGGATATAATAGTAGTCGAAACGAGACGCAGGTGTCCAGAGTGTTTATACTGGGCGAACAAAAGCTTCGGGCATCATCGGGACCCTCGTCGACGTCTGAGTGCGCGTTTTATCTTGCCAGAAAGGGCTAGTAGTTGGGGCGGTTTTAAAAAATGCAAGTGACCTCCGTGCTCGCGGCGCATAACGAGCACACACTGTTTGCAAAGAGAAGCGACCGCGTTGCGTTGGATTCGTAATAACGAGATGTGGCACAGGTAAAGAACAGTCCGTTTCGCAGTAGTCGGGGTCGGTGTTACACCGCCAGGCTCGCCTCATACCGGTGCCGGTTCCGGTGCTCATCACTGGCGATCGAGGTTGACCACCATCAAGAACTCGTTCCTTGGCAGTCCTCGATTTCATCGGCGCAAATTGCTCACGAGTGCCGAGGAGGTACGTTTCCTTGTTTTATTACAGTCTAATATCGAAATGTAACGCGTGCCAGTTCGAACGACTGGTTGCGAATGTTTTCCTTCTTCGAAGTCTATGCATAGGAACCATTTTAATTACCGTTGTTCGCACAGTAAACGATGCTTCTCTTTTTTACACAGGTGCACCTCACACCGGACTCCTCCCCGGAACTTACAAAGAAATCGTGGTTCGGTAGTCTAATGACGACGGAGAAAGACGAAACGTTCACCATCCTCGTAAAGAGAAAAGTGCTGGCCAGCGTGAAAGCTGATCTAATTCACGCGTTTTTATCGGTAAGTTTCGCAGGAAACGTAGCGACGAGACGATTTCTCGATAAAAAGCGAGTAAATTTCGATCAACAGATAGCGGAGCTGTCTCACAGCGTGAGCTCGCCCATGTCCTTCAAGGTGGAATACAAAAGAGGAAGCACGGCGCCGGCCATGTTCCAACGACAAGTCCGTTTTCAAGTGGACATTAGCGCCATTTCGAAACAGCCGAGCGAACCGTTGTTCGCCATTACTTTCACTCTGTTAAGCGGTAAATAGACTTTGGCTCGATCGTGGAGACGTAATTCCCGAAAAACCGATTCGATCTCTGGCGAATTTCTCGCGAGAAATCAAGTCGCGTTTCGCACCTGAGCCGACACTCGAATTTACGAAACGAAACGAAACGAAACGAAACGAAACGAAACGGTTCCCTCGGAAGCAATCCGCGGACAAGGGTAGATTGGTAAGGTGGCGGCGTTTGGCGTTTGGCGTTTGGCGTTTGGCAATCGTCCAACCGCAACTAGATCGATGTTACCTTGGCAAGTGGAACCTTACGTCTGGTCCGCATGTAGCGCGCGTATAATTTCGAGTCGTTCGTCCGAACGCCGCCTGATTTACACCTCGCGTACGTCCCCTTTGACGACCAAACGACAGACCAGTCCTGTTACAAAACGAATGTCCCTACGCCACTCGTACCTTGACGACGCGCGTCTCATCGATTCGACGTTTCAGGAAACATCCGAAGATTTCGAAGGGTCTGCGAGCACATCCAGTCGCAGGTCTGTTCGAGAAACGTAGGAATAAATTTGGGTGGACAGAGCAGAGCCGCGCCACCGAGTCCACGAGCTTCGCGGAAATTTACCACGGAGATGAACGAAAGTTCCAGCTGCGGGAGCGACACCAGCGAACGTTTGTTTCTTAGCCCGCACCCAGCTACCAGACAGGTAGTCTGTTTCAACAAGGTAGTGCATCATCTTCCTCCACCTAGACGCCATTAGACGCGATAATTCTTTTATTCCATTACAAACGTTGTTCCTCGTGGAAAGCAGTTACGAAAAAGGTGAACTGCGCTTATCTCTTAGCATCGAACCGATCGTGTCGATCGCTTTCCGTTCATACGATTCATCGTAGTCTTGATAGCTGCATAGTACCCGGCACGCATACAACATTCGTTAACGTTCGCGTTATGCACCAAGAAGTAGATGCAACTAGCCAACTAGCAGCTCGCACGGTAGTGAACCCGTTATCAGACATTCACCATGTCGAGCCGAACGATTTTCCACGTGGCAGAATAATCCTATCGTTCAGAGGCTGATTACGTTACGTATGACCATAGCTAGCTTCTCTCCTGCGAATAGCCACGACTCGAAAATATCGCGAATCATCTGCCTTGCCAGCGTCATCGATCGTTACTCACTTTACCCGTTCGCGTTGCTTCCAGATCGACTCGGACATCGACTCGGACACGTCCGTGTTCGACGTTAAATCGCCGACTCGCGAGAACGGCCGCAGAAGCTCCACGTCGACCAACAACAACAAACCTTTACCAGGAGACGCGACACCGACTCCCGGAAGTCCGACGAAGGCGGTGCGCAGCAACTCGGAGAGTCAAAACACGCCAGAGAAGAAATGCGTGACCACGATGAGCGGCAACAACATAGCGTGATACTACCAGAACTTCCGTTTCGAGTTTCGATCAAGCCTGAAGAACTTGTGGGACAGCGCCCAGAGATTCTGGTGAACCCTCGGACGAACAGCTTCCTACTGGCGGATAACGATCGAGAAACGATCCAACCCCGAGGAAGCAACGACAACCCTGAAACGTAGCTTCGACCCAGTACTGGATAGATTTCGAGGAAGCATTACCGAAAGCACGGATTAACGTTGGAAGAGACGACAAACGGGGAACAGCGAGCATACCGTTCAGGGGTAACGATGAATTATTTTTGTCACGAACGTACGAACGGGAGACCGAGAAATAAATTCGACGAGCGACGAAAGCGACCGAGAGAGAATTTCGGGAGAAAATTCCGAAAGAAAATTCCGAGAGAGAGAGAGAGAGAGAGAGAGAGAAAGAGAAAGAGAAACGGGGACGCGAAAGACAGGGACGAAACGATCGAGGATAAACATTTTGCGGAAGAGCATCCGTCTGAGAGATTGGGAAAGGGTGAGATTCGGAGGAAACGCATCAGGGAAAGACGAGACGCCGTTCAAAGACGACATCCAACTGCCGGTACACGGTATACGGAATACGCATCTCGTGCACAAAATCTTCGACGAGTAGAAACGACGGGGGAAATTTGTGGCGCAAGGCGAATCCTCGTCCAAAGTTTCATTGCACAGTGATCGCACAGTGATCGTGTGATCGTGTGATCGTTTTGTCGCGGAAATCGTAGCACCTGGTTTTACCTGAAAGTGAAGTGCAGTAGTGACATTGTACCGGTATACGTCGGATCGTGCGCTTGTAAGAACGAATTACCGGTACGTATATCTTGTTATGTATCGCCAATTAGCGATTTCGTTTTATTATTTCGTTCATCTCGAAGGAAAAACCGGAGAAGTTAAGCAGCGATTGATCGCGCATAATTTTCCCGGTCGTTATCCGAGGAAGCTTCGAGTTTCATCGAGCTTCGTCTCTTGAATTTCATCGAAACCAGCTTCTAATTAACCTCTCCGACTTTTCGAGATCCAGAGTTGTTTTCTTTCTTCGTTGGGACGGTTCTGTTCGCCGTAGACATTGATTAATTCGCATCGTTACGCGATTCTTTCAACGACTTTTGTTACGTGTACGCGTTAAACGTTCCAGCCACTCGGTTATTGCTCGCGATGAAATTATCCGCTCGTTTCCACCGATTTTCCTTCGCTTCTCTTTTCGTTCGAGCAAAGAAACGGGTCGTTACGAAACGTGCAATTACATTCGTCGAAAGTCGAGCGAATCGAGTATACGAAAATTCCACCCAAGCGTACCAAACGTTCCTCGCGATGAGTGTCCGTTCTCTCCCTGCCCTTACTTTCCAGCCTTTCGAGCATTTCTTTTCCTTCCGTGATAAATAAGCAGCTGGCTCGCGATCGGAAACCGAACCTTTCTTACTCGCTTCGGACAACCAATGTTTCATCGCGATCCACGAGCAGCCGGATATGCCTTATACGCAAAAGTACCCTAACGTTCGTTCCAAGCGCAGCTTCCCGATTCAGCAACGAAAATGCAAACTCTTAAGAAGCGATTCTCCTCCGACTAACGATCTACGGCAACGCTATTTTTACATTGCCCGCGCGATAAGGACGGAACTTCCTAGTTCATTTAGTGCTTCGAGAAAAATCCCTAGAGTAAACGAGTAGGCGCATTTTCGCGAAGAGGAGAAAACGAAAGCGAGATTTCATCGACGTTTCGCATTTTCGCTCTGACAAATTTTCGAATGCCAGACTATTCGCGTTCTTGGTCGCGCGCATCGTTTCGCGTGCCGAAACACTTTGCAGTCTCGAATCCTTGAATCCATGAACGTAGTTATCGGCAACTCGATGTTGCAGCCAGCCACTATTTCTCGGTACATGATCGCGAACAGGGGAAATTCTACGAACGAAACGAGGAGGAATCGAGAATCACCGAAAGCGTCTCTCGATGTTTCTCTAACTTTTTCGACGCACGTAGTAGAGGAAAGAAGGAGAAAAAGAGAGAAAGAGAGGGAAAACTAGAGAAAAGAAACGCGTTAAAGGGAAAAGAAAAGAAAATTCACTCGCGGCGCAACGATCGCGTCGAGAGATTTATTTTTTGCACGCACGAGAAAACATTTCAAAAGACTAATATATAAATATAAATACGAATATAAATATATAAATAAATGAATAAATGAATATATATATACACATACGTACATGTGTAAGTAGATGTCACTTACGAGCGACGCATACGGCTTCTTGTCTGCTACTTATGCGAAAATGAACGTGGAAAATGAGAGTCAGAGGGAAAGGAAAGAGATGAGAGAAAAATAAATCGCCGCAAGAAAAGATCAGATCTAGCGTTTCTAACCATAGAATAATAAAGATAAGCGATTACAAAAAAAAAAAAGAAGTATAATTGTCGTACACGTTTTTCTCAATACACAAACATATCTCGAAAATTATCCCGGCTTCTTAGTGGAACGACGAATGCATTGTAAACGCGATTAGCACCGTTTTTAATCGAAGGCTCGTTATAGACGTAACCAAAAGTCTAATCCTGCCGAACCCAAGAGTCTCGACGAACCTCTACTCGCCCCTAAATGACGGCAACACGGTCTGCAGCGGATCAACCCTAGAACGTTAAACCGTCGTACCGAAACGTAGAATCGTCTAGCCTTTATATTTTCGTTAAACGTTACCAAATTAGTACGCTCGTTCGCGTACACCGCTCTCTGCATTTAGAGTTGAAAAGTTACGGCGAGATTTACCCAAAGAGTTCCGTTATACCAACGACGAACGATGGAAACGTTCGAAACGTCAACGATAGATGGTAGCGGTGTTCAGTTCTCGTAATTCGATCGCAGCGCTATACGGCGCGGTAAGAAAACTAGAATCTAGTGAAAGTTTACCATTCTAGCAATTCTCGATCATAGAATATTAACGACAGACGAGACGAGATGAGGCTCGTTAAAGTTTTTGCGATTAAACATAGGCGAGAGAAATCGAATCTTGAATGTTCGCTCGAATCAAAAATTGTAATCTCAAAACCCCTGACGTTCCCCGATAGCTCTCGCTTTAGATATATCTTATACATTATATCGCACACGCCGACTCGTTCCTACATAAACAGCTATGTACGAATTATCGAGAAAGATTGCGCGTATCGTTCCAGTCAAGTTTCGAAGACGAAGGATTCTTTTTGCCAACAAAATCGACGTGGTGGTAGTTTTTATTAGGTAAAAATTCGTTGAAAGTTGCGACAACGTAACGACGTTTTGTTATGTCACGTGGCGTAAATCAAACTCGTAGGGTAATATTCGTTCGTAGAAAATTTTATTTCCTACCCCGTACTGGCGTTGAATTCTTTTTCCCTTGGAAAACGATAACAGGAACGAAGGGACTCGTTTCTTATTTACCGGCTGTAATACTAGCATGTACCCGCTTTCGATAATGGCAAAATGGGTGAGCAATGAATGTGCAAGCGTCGTAACAACGGAAAAACGGAAATAGTCGGACGTAAGCCTGGTTTAATAGGCAATTAGATTAGTCGTTCTTACCGATTCGATATCCCCTATTTGTACTACAACATTCCATTAAGAAGCTTGCAGGTAGAAAATAAAAGAATACTGTAATCGTTCTACGAACGGCACCTTCTATGATTTTACTCTAGAGGGAGGGTAAAAACAACAGAGGAACAGATAGAAACAATGTGTATGAGTGCGAAGAACGTATCGTTTGTTATATTTCATGGAAATAAATCGGGCTTTGCAATACGCGAGATCGCAAGATCACAAATAATATAATGAACGAGGGAGAAAGAGCGAGGAGAAAAGAGAGAGCGAGCGAGCGAGCGAGCGAGCGAGCGAGCGAGAGAGAGAGAGAGAGAGAGAGTGAGAGAGAGAGAGAGAGAGAGAGAGAGAGAGGGGAAATACGAAAGTCGCATGCGTTCGTACGTGCGTTTGTCGTGTATGCGTAGATGCATGAGTCGTACAAGAAGAAGGGGAAAGAACTAACGAATGAGTGTAACAAAAAAAAGTTGTCGTTGGATAGCCAAGGCGATTCGTTAGTATTTTATGCGTCACACAACATAACACAAACCACTAATTCATAAATTGAACTTAGGCGTAAGCTTGCGGTTATCTATTACTAATTGCGAATTAATGTAAAATCATTCGTACGAGGTAAGTAATACGGACATAATTAAAGAAGGGGGAAGACTTTTAGGATGGTTACGGGGTCGGGAGGGGACGGGGGGAAGAAGAAAAAGTATGATATACATACATACATACATACATACATACATACATACATACATACATACATACATACATACATACATACATACATACATACATACATACATACATACATACATACATACATACATACATACATACATACATACATACATACATACATACATACATACATACAAGGTAGCAGATAATTTTGACCATCTTGAGTATCTCTGTTATTTTTCAGAGATATGAAAAAATTGTATAAGAGTAATACAGTAATATAGAGAGTATTTAAACGACTTCAATCAATTCCAATGCAATATCATTCGATAACGAATAACAGGCTAAAACAAAAGAACAAAAAAAATCTGAACACTTCTTATAAAATATAAATCTCTATCATTTATCATCGAATGGCCTTATATCGCGAGTTACTGAAATCGTTTGGATATTCGCTATTTTTCTAGCTATGGAAAGTGAACGGCACTGAAGAAAGTGAAACTAACCTCGAAATCCTCGAAAGCCATCCATTTATAAAAGAATTATAACCTGCACGCTACAGATCCACCCTCGATTTCCTATATCGTGCAACTTTTATATATAAAGTCCTTCCATATCTCTAAAAATAACGGAAATGTCCAAGATGACCACCCAAGTTATTTGTCCACCCTGTATATATCTACGAGGACACAAGAGAAACAAATTACCGGCCATACTAAGCTAGGATTTTATATCGTGCGAATTTAAGGATGGAGAGAAATACTGAAGTACTTCGGTGAATACTCGAGTGAATGGATTTAAGTACCGAGCATGCAGTAGCTCGGAACCACTTTCTGTCTGCTATTTTTTCTTTGCAATTGGGCGTGCCGCGTGGCGCACGCGCTTGTCTCACTTGTCACGCGTATTGCACGACAGATAATTAATAATACTCGCTATCCCTCACGTGTCTCCGATTTATTTTTCGACTCGCTTTTGCCTCACGTGACTCTGTGCTGACGCGCGACTATTCGATTTGACGTTATCTCGATTCAACAAACGCCGACATTGTTCCCCGATATATGTACATATGCCTTTACTTATTTCACTTATCGAGCCGATGTTTTCAATTATCGAAATCCAATGAATCTCCGTTTTAATTTTATTTAAATTATTCCAGCGATTCCATCGAATATATCTCGTAAACGATTGGAATTATTTATAACTATTACCTATCTACCTTTCGTTATCATCTTATCACATCTATTTTGTTCGTGCCTTTAAATATACTGTCAGATTATTCGCCATTCTTTTTGTTTCCTTACGTTCGTATCGTATAGAACACTGTCTGGATATTTTTTAAATTTCTCTCGATTCGTCTAATTAGAAAAAATCAGAAAGTCTGAATGAGATTCAACATGTCTGTCGCAGCGCGCAGAGGGCACGCGTGCTTTATCTGGTGAATAGAGACTAGATTGCCGAGCAAAAATTGCAACAGCGTCTCTTCGACTGGGCATAAAACTGTAGGAATTATACAAATTCCCGATATCGTATCCTTAAGGCATTAAGCTAGGCAAATAGAGATTTTTATACAATTTATAAGGCGATTTGCAATCGATTGATTTATCGCACGTTTACTTGTTGAAGTTTTGTTATGCACACACGGGCGCACTGTGCTTTCGAACTTGCATCGTGGCAGCCTTGTTTATGAAATCCGATTGAGCGGATTAGAACGTTATACAATTTAAACATTGTCGCATTGTATAAAAAATGCGAGCTAATCAGTTTCCTCGTTGGAATTTAAACAAGCGAAAACTATCCTCGTGTTTTTTATAATTTCTCTCTCAAAAAAAAGAAAAAATTAACTAGCATTTAAAATTTTCACGAATATAAAGATACATCAACGACGACTCAGACTCTGTCGATATTTGTATACAACTGACATGACTAAATATTTGAAAGTGTAGAATTTCTTAGCGATGCCGAATATTCTGATCATGGGAGGAATAATTGTTTCGATACGTTTGAAAGCACGATACTCTTTCCATTTGACTCGTCGCGCAAACGACTGCTATGGTAAAAAGGTTGCTACGGTGCATCGTGACGCCTAGTGAATGCATTACCTATTGTAAGATATTCTCTCTCGTCGCTCGAAGTTTAAACTAATCGATTATTATCGTGCTTTTGACACATTCGTATAATTATCGTGTGTATTTACCAATCTCTGTACGGGCGATGTGGTGCACAACGGATGAATCACCGAGAAAAAGAGCAAAACTGGAAGTTCGAAGGTTGCCCACGTACAGTGCAGAACTGGAAAGAAATCTCGTGGGACGACACAAGAGCGAGGACAAGGCGGGTGATATTTTTATATTTTATTCGCTCTGCCTGACCATCTTTTACGCTCTTGAAATCCCTACTCTTACTTTCCTGGTGACATACGTTAATGCAGTATTAAATTAAATTGTTTATACTCTTTTTATTTTAATTTATATATGTTACAACTCACCTGTTAACTCTTTTTATCTCGTACATTTAGATGCGACACTTTTGCTTAATAACGAAAATTCATGTGTGCCATCTTTATAATTACACGGGAAAGGGTGAACCTATTGTGCTATAACCAATCAGAACTGCATACCTTCCAGGTGATTTTTTTCCAAGTCTGTACAATACGTTGATCATCAACAATTCCGTTCACGAACAATGTTCGCTTTGACGCGCAAATCATGCTCTCTCCACTGGAACGAGGCTAATTACCGTACGGTAACGTCGGTAACGTCGGTAACGTACTTTCGTCACTCTCTGCACGAACTGAAATCTCTGCCAACCTCTCGAGCTCGCCAACTGCTCCAATTAGCTTGTCGTCTAAAACGAAACACCTCGTTTTCTTACCATTGCCTGCTTCGTCTTCGAATGCGCCTTGGAATTTACGTACCGACATGTCACAGCAAAATGTTCCATTACGAACGTGACACTGTAATTCGATTTCCTACGGAACAGAAACAAAATTTTATCAGATTATCACTTATTTTTATCGAACCGTATGAAAACGAATCACACCACCATACCACTTATTTGAGCTTCATTGACGTTCAAAAGAAAAAGAACCGTTGGCAGTGTATTAAATTTTCACGATTCAATCAGAATGACTTTGTTTAGATTGATGAAGCCTTCAATGATTCCTCCCAAATACATCCATTTACATGGAGAATATATAAAACTTCTAAATTAACGTTATTTCTGAAGAGCAAGCTACAAGAAAAAAAGAGGGAAGAGAGCATTGTCCTAACAGAGAAACGTTACCTGGCACAGTAAGTCGGTATACCTTCAGCCAATCCGATCTTGCACGGTCGCGAATTAACAGCGCGACTAACAACGTCCGATTAGTTAGTAAAGTTTAGTAAAAGCGTGAATCTGTAGTTCCACTGTGTTGATTGCTGTAATATAAGCAAGATCAATTAGAAACACACCCGGAGACGCTTCTTTTCACGTTATACTGGTCACTGGTTTACCGATTATTTCTCTACTTACGTATGCATAGATGGCAGTATGCACCGTTTGTTATCCTTTCGATGCTTTTCACGTTAGCACGCAGTCACTTAGTTTCTTTGAAATCGTTAGCAAATACTTTCTACCCTTTGCACTTGTACCATTTCATACTTTGTATCCCTAACTGTAAACACAGAAATATTATATTTGTTAATACATTAAATAATCATTATCACTTTATACAGAAAAAAAGTTTAACTCTTGGTGAACTTGAGATATGTTGCACATGCAATTAAGTTTTTATAAATATTCCACATCATTCGTATATTTTCATTTTAAAAACGATAAACACGTAATAAACCATGATTTTAAAATTAATACAAGTGTGAAGGGTCAAGCGGTAATTTTCTCATACAGCTTCCCATGTAGGCATACCCCGAATGAGAGTTTCAATTTCTACCGATTTAACGAAAATACTCGACTAAAATGACGTAACGATTATCGATTTTATTATCGAATTTCGATTTTAACTTTATTACGGAAAGTAATGCAAAATTATATGAGAAAAGAATGATGTCATCCGAAGCTGTCGGAAAATTACTAGCAAAAATAACATTCAAATTCAATTGTTGCTACTTAAAAACGACAAAACGCTTTTTATCTTTGAAAATCCTGATCGTCGAATTATCGATATTCATAGTCGTAGCAACGAAAAATATTGCTTTCACGATTGATTTAGCCATCTCACGATACACTTTTAATACAGTCATATCTCGATAATGAAAAGTTTCAAAATCGAAATGTACACGAGGGATCCCCAAGTCGTATCTCGTGTAAACGAGCTTCGATTCTGAGTATCGATTATATGTATTTCGTGTGAAGTCTTTCACTAAGAATTGTAGAATCTATACTAATTTATTAAATGGTGTGGTATATAATAATGAGTTATGGACGCTTTAAAATGTTATTCGAAATTAGAATTATTTAAAAGTTTTTGAACTCACGAATAATAGAAATGTGTGAAAAATTGTTTAAATTTAAATTTTAAAGTTTGAAAGTAATAAATTTGTAATAACGATGATACTGTACTTAAAATCTCTTTACATTTTAAAATCGTTTAAACTTGTTAATATTATTTAATCGTTTGAGATTTTCTAACCTCGTTGAATTCTCACGATATACAAGTAACTTTTAACGTTCGTTACTATTATGTCCGATATAGAAAAGCAATGCTGTTGCACGATTTGGCAGGTTTACATTTTTAATAGCGGAATTGCATGTTCATTCGCAATGTATCGTTAGAAATATAGACCTATCAAATCAGCGTCACCTATGCGAAATCGCAACAACGTCGCATCGTTCATCTGAACCGGATTTTATGTTTCTCGTAAACTTATAAAGAAACAATTGCACATTTATTACCGCTTGCAATGTACGTATCGAAGGAACAATTTATTACCTGGTGAATTTCAGGTGAATCAGTTCATATCAAAGATACATAATCAATATTCTAGTTAAAGGATCCCAGGAGTACAGCTATTCGATTTGCCAGTTACGCGTTGTATGTACCGAGTATTTAGTAACGTCCATGACAACTGACAATAACGGCTGTGAGTCCGAAGATGTGTTTTCCGAAAAGTATTCCTTATTGTAAACCATTTCGCTTGACTTGCCTGCGTGAAGTTCCGCCGAAATTCTAATGGGAACCGATCCTACGAGAATATATTTATATAACATCGATAATTCTATGTAAGTCGATTTATAAAAATGATAGCATAAAAAATAACTGTTCTTCATAACTGTTATTATCTTGTTATGTTATTGATTAAAATAACAGAAAATGACGTATCTTTCAGTTTCAAATAAAATAGTGAAATATGTATAACATTTTCAATATTAGTTTATTTGGTCGGTTTCCACAAAAAATTTCAAGGAACGGAACGACCATTTATCTAATCGACGCATGCGTAAAGCAATGATGTAAGTACTCACCGTATGTAGCCGATTACGAAGAAGTTACAAAATACTTGTCGCTTATTTTGCGAATAAAAGAGCACTTCTAACAAAATAAGGTGGCTATGTCGATTTGAATATTGTTAATTTGCATCGTTTAAAAGAAAGATTATATTTCAGGTAAGGTTATATCAAACATAAAAACAATGAGGTTTTAGATAAATTCTAGTAAACAATATACGAATCAATGGAATACTAAAAACTTTAAAAATGTGACGAAATAGAATTGGTAAAATTTTTAAAGAAGAACAATTCATGAAAGAAAAGATAAATACATTACATTAAAACTAAAACTATAAGATAAGTAAATCCATTCAAACTGTTCTAAAAGTTGAAGCAGTTATCGATCGTAAAATCGACTGGCCATCTTTGAAATGTCCGCATTTGGTGGCGAACTATCCATAAAAATTGAACGATCGTGTTCAGAGGGATTAGGGATTTGCGCTAAATTTGATGCACTTGCAGTAAACTATTTTTTTACGAATAAACAAGAAACGATCCTGCCCTGAAACCCTTGTTCTGCATAGCAAAGAACTAGTTTCGTTTTTTTAAACGTTCAATTTCTGAAACCACGCAACGGTGTATACATATTGTGATTCGAATGCCTCACGGTCCCACGAATCAATCAAATGATTTGTTTTTTGATAATCTTAAATAGTTATATCATTTTATTTCAGAGAAAAAGATCATTACACCGCTATATATAACCAATATTGATCGCAATTATTTGATTTTATTTAATTTTTGTCAAATATCTTTACTCGGTTTCTCAGTTACTTTTTATATAGTTTACCTGTGAAGCAAGCTACAAATACAGTGTACAGTTATTGTGCTAACGAATACTACTGGTACTTGTCACGCAATCGACTATGGATTATTATGTATTATTATAAAATAATATCGTTAGTTTTCAAGCAAACGAATAAACACGAGAATATGGGGAGATGAAAATTGTAACATATTTGTTGATGGCCAATATCAAATATGTATAAAAGTAATAATAATGCAACATTACTAATAAACAAATATTACTAATTTTGTTGTAAGCTTAATTCCTGAATATAAGTAAATTTTTTATTTATAAATAAATTTTTTAAATCATAAAATTAATTATAGCAACAATTATAGTAAATTGTAAACAATGTCACATTGAAAATTTCGACTCAGCGATAAATAACACGTTATTACACATATAAAATTAAATACATCACACAAATGTACGTATATATACATATATACATAAACTTTGATACGAATCATATGGTTGCTCCGTAGTGTCAAATTCATCGCGGGACAATATTATGAAAATTTTAAACTGTACTTATTTATATAGTTGCTAATTAAGATACGTTTAGTTAAAGAATGCCGAAACGTCCGTGTCCTTTCGAAGATGATTTACCACCCCAGTTAAAGGTACACGTAGGTGAAAAACAAGTAAACAACGGCGTCTGTCGAGAGGAACGAATGAAAAGTGTTTATGGTATAGAGGTTATAATATAGAAAAATTAAATTGTGTTATAATATACAATTTCTCTTTTCTTTTTTTTTTTTTTTTTTTTTTTTTTTTTTACTTCGTATAGGAAAAACAATGGATTTATTAAAAGATGGTGTTAAAAAACTGTCACAAAAATTACCTATTTCCATGGAATTAAATCCTATTATACCATCAAATGTACCACCATCAAAAGTATCATCTTGCAAATCCAAAAATACTTTAAAACAAATGGTATTAAACAGCAAATTAGAATTATTAAGAATGGATAAAGCCATAAAGGTAAGTTATTGATAGTAATAAATTCAGTTTATGATATATCTATTTTTATAAGTATTAAGGGTATCTTTAATCTAAGTTTTATTTTTATACTATATAAACTAAAGTAAATATAAAAGTTTCAAAATATAGTAAAATTAACAACTTCCTCTCTTCTTTTTTTATCTCTTCTAAGGATGTTCAACCAAAATATGATCTTTGTGATTGCAGTCGAGTAATAGATCAAAGCATGTTTAGCAAATGTTCCTATTGTGATCATATTTTATGTAACTCATGCCTCATTGAGTGTATAAATTGCTCAGAATTATTTTGTCAAAACTGTTTTGTACCTATGTAAGTTAATTTGCTTTTGATTTATATTTTTAGTATTTCATTGTTGTTTATACTTTTGTCTTTCTTTCTTTCTTTCTTTTATAGATATGGTCAAGAAGAACAAAACAAGTGCCTTAATTGTTATAAATAAAATCATAATATTTTATACTACCTTTTATAACTAATATTTATACTTATATAGTTTCTACTGTAAATGGTTTTAAACTAATTAAACAAATGTGTGAATACTTACATGACTTGTATTAAATATGTTAAATGAAAAGGTGACCTATTCCTTTCCTTACTCTACCCTTTCTATTAAAAAAAAATATATTCAAATTTATTATAATGTTACTATTTAATGTAAAATTACTTAAACTGTTATAAATGTTGCTTCATATTTTATTATAGAAAAATGAAATTAATTTTACAAATACTCGTTAAAATCGCAATATCACTTAAACGAAAATTAAAAGTATACAAACTAAAAATAATAGGGAAAATAAAAGATCATCGTTTTCATAGTATTACGTCAAAATGAAAAATTCACTAAATTGCATTTAATAAAACGTTACTATATAATTCCGACGAATCCAGGAAGGTCAGAAAAATCAGTAATTAATCATTTAAAATATATAATAACATATTTTAAACAGTCACTTGCAATGAATATTAAAATTTCGTGAGCAAATAAAAAGATTACAGCCTTTCAATAAAGATAAATACTTTAGCCGGGAAATTGAATATTATTATCGTGCATTCACGTGGCTTGTCTAAAAGTTCAGAGTGACAGAAAGTAAGTTATTTGCAAAACGAAAATTTTTTTAATTTATGTAAATAGTGGTAAGAAATAGTAATATCTACATTACTTTTATTAATTTGTATTTACATACATACATTGTTCAAACAATACATCTAAACAACGTATATTTGTATCGTTTATTCTAATATAAGAATTCCTTTTAATATAAACATATTATTACAATTGATGTGAAATAAATTTTTTATTTAGAAATTGATGAAATGAAATTATTAATCATTATATTGTATATTTCTTTCTTAATGTGTAAGTAGATATGACTAAAGGAAAGAAAGAGTCAAAGCTAGCAACCCAAATCAACGAGGATAAAAATAATAAAACATTAAAAAACAATAGTTTGGTAAGATATTCACACTATGCTAAAATTTTATGCTATTATTGCCAATAGGAAAATTGAAATTAAGTATAAACCATATACTTTTAGAATACTGAGAAGAAAAAAGATAATTTATCAAAGTATTGTAAAAAGATGAATGTGAAACAGAAAATAAAACAAAAAGATGTAAAGAAGTGTGAAAAGGTTACTAAAAAGTTAAGCGTCATAGACATGCTTTTAAAATATAATGAAGAAAAATATAAATATCAGATTCAACAATTGAATGTATTATTTGGGCAATCTGTAAAGTATCCAACACTTACGAAGGATGAATTATGTATGTTATTTGCAAAATATAGGTCAGATGGACATTATAAAACTAATAAGAACTTACCACCATTTACAAGTCTTCTTGTCAATACACACAATATGTTTAATGAAAAAATTCATGTTTATGATCAGTTTTCTGATCTACAAAAGATGAAATTTAAAAATACTGAAGACACAGTTGCAAATTTAAATTGTAATACTCTTAATGAAAATCAACACATAGAAGAAAATCCAAAAGTACATGAAATTCTGCAAACAAATGTAAAACAAGATTTATTAAGATGTAGACAAATTTCTCAAGTAAACGGCATGAATAACAAAGTACAGAATAAATATCTTTATAATGATCAATCTATCCCAACCATCAATGAAAATAACAATCATATGTTTATGAACTATAATATCAAATCACATAATAACTTCAATATGTTTAATGATGCACAAAATCTTATTCAATTAAAATCAGATTCAAACTCAAATGCTAAGAAGATTTCTGATGGAGAAGAGAAATATTTTTTATATAAATCAATAAATACACAAAATGTTATTTCTGAAGAACAGCAAAGCTACAGATACGTAAATAAAAATTTATTGTACAATGTATCTGATCCAAATACTCAATATGAAAATGTAACTAACAATAGTGAAATATCACAAATAAATGATATAAATTGTTCAGTTAAGTATGATAATTTCTCACTGAATTCAAACTTTTACAGTGATTTATATTTGAATAAATGCAATAACATGACCTCTATTAATAATAACAACAATTATCAATCTATGACAAGTGCACAATCAATTTATATTCCTCCTAACTTGGAATCATGCTCTAATGTGAAAAATTCTGTTCCTTCTTATCAATTATCTTTGATAAAAAATTGTTCAGAACAAGATAATTTAAACTTATCCATTGATACAGATATGTATTCTGTAATGAATAATAAAAATTTGACACACATTTCTAATGACAATGGTAACAATACTCAAGCAAACCTCGATGCTTACAATGCAAACTCAACTATGATACCAGGTGATATTTTTTCAGAAATGGATACATTTATCCCATCTTGTCCTGGTATAATTGATCAGCACAACTAACAGCAATATTTAAATTTTGTAATAAATCATAAAGCAAAGTTTAATGTCTTTTGTTATAGATATTTAATTTTTTAAGGATATTACATACATCATATAATTGTGTATATATACAT